TAAGTCATATGTTAACGTGATTATATGCATTAAAACTCTTATGACATACTTACCAGTGGAAAGATACATAAATGATTCCACATTACCTAATTCTCTCTTTTCTTTCATTCTAACCTTATCTTTGATGATATTTAAAGACAGAGTTAAAACAATCCATCTATTGCAAAAGTGGCTTTTCAAGGTTCCCAAATAATCCTCCTCCCTTTTTTGAATCTACTATGTGGTTCATATCACAACATTTCTCATGGTAAATGTTCTGTTCAAATATAATGTTTCTGCTGCAGACCTATGGCTGTCATTTAAAATCATGTCTTTCTAATTGTCTGAATTAGGAGTCAGTCTTGTGGGAGAAGGCCAGGTCGCCCAGTGAGGATGAGGGGCCTTACTGCTGGCGCCCAGTGGGTGCTGGCCGTGCCTGCCTGGCTCCCTGAGAGCAACGCAACTCCATCCCCTGGAGTTTACAGCAGGTGGCCTAGAGGGGCTCAGGGAGACAGAACCCAGGACTTAAACGTTTAAGCAAAAAGGATGAATTCATTAGTACAGCTATTTCTACATTTACACCAGAGGCAGAAGGTGTTGTCAGGTAGCAATGATTTTCTTTTTTAATCTTTATTGTTGAAAGTATTACATATGTCCCCTTTTTCCCGCATTGAGCTCTTCCAGCCTCTTCCCACTCCACATCCCATGCCTTCACCTCCTACCCCACCGCATTGTCTGTGCCCATGGGTTATGCATATATGCATACAAGTTCTTTGGTTGATCTCTTCCCACCCACTCATCCACCCCTCCTTCCTCTGAGGTTCCACAGTCTGTTCCATGCTTCTCTGTCTCTGGATCTATTTTGTTCACCAGTTTATTTTGTTCATTAAACGCATACTGGTGCAAAGATTTTCTTTAAATAGATAAAGCAATGACTGCATGAGTAGTGTAGACTCAAACTCTCTGCAGAGGAACCTGGCTTAAAAGGCAAAAGCAAGCACTGAGCCACTTCCAGAGTGGGAGGTTGGGGATGGGGAGGGTGGAGGGTTGGGGTTTGGGGGTTGGGGAAGGTGGAGGGTGGGGGGTTGGAAGGTGGGATTGGGGTAAGGGGGTTACCCTGTGCTCTCCAGCTCCACCCTGACCTGTGCAGCCAGTTTCCCTGCTCACATAGGGCTCTGGGGCAGGGGCAGCTGTGAGTTGATGGACTCTTCAGTGACCAAGAGAAAATGATTACTCGACTCATTTATGAGAAAGTTACTGAGCCCACTGGATGCAGGCATAATGCTCAGAGGCAGCCTGTAAAAATGTCTGAGACCCTGCTACTTGGCAGCAGCCCACCTGAGGGAGAGTGACAGTGTTTATACAAATGACTACAGCATTTCACAGCCAGGGATCAGGGGTCATAGACAGCATTCCCAAGATGCTCCCTGAATTTTAAAGTTAAATAGTCCAAGATGGCTGAGTACCGGAAAGGCATTTCAGGCAGAAATTATTACAGGTGCAGCATGAGGGCTCAGAAGATGGGGACCTGCAGTGGACTTCCATTGCTTTGTATGAGACTAAGATTGGTTTTTATTTTAATCTTTACGCTTTTGATGTTTTCCAAATGGTACACAGTAAATGCTTATTGCTTATATCATCAAAAGAAAAAAGAGCTGGTGCAAAACACACACACACACACACACACACACACACACACACACAAAAAAAAAAAGAAAGAAAAAAAAAAGAAAGAAAAGAAAACAAAGAAAAGTGGCAAGACCGAGGCCCTGCCCAACTCGGCTTCGCACTGTGGGCAGCTGGGCAGTGGGGTTTAATGGGACATGGACGCTCAGTTTGCAATGAGGAGGCAAACCTGGCCTCAGTGAGAACAAGAGGTTGGCGGGGTCACTCCTCTAGAAGGTATAGAGGACTTGCAACTGACTATATTGAGGAATCAGAAACTTGGAAACATTTAATTTAATTTTTAATGCCCAAAGTAACTTCCATTAAGACTGCTTAAAATGTTCTTTTAAAAATTTAATTATCTGCTTATTTCAGTCCCATAATGTCAAATATAGTAAGAATGTTTAATTGTGAATCTCTAGTAAAATCAATTTATTCTTACAGACTTACTCCTTTTAAGGATCTAAACCCATTCTTCATTAATATATATTGAAAACATATACAAAACTGGAAATACAACATTGAATTGATTAAGATGTATCTCCAAGATTGTATTCGCACAAAACCACTTCTCTTATGATGAACGTCTGCTCAGTGGTGTCTGATCCCGGCCATCCTTGAGGCCGGGTGACTTAGGCGCTACTCACCAGGAAACGCAACATGAGGTGTGCAGTGCCAGAGGTTAGGAGTGACTGCATGGAAGCTTGTCTTTAAACAATCAACTTAGAAATCCAAAACTATTTTGAAGTATGCTATTTTCACAAAGGCAGAAAGATCACAAAGGACTACTTTTATTTCTCATGAGTGAGTCCAATCTACTTGGTTTTAGTGAACAATTGTCAGTTGAAAGAGTTTGGGACAAATAAAAGCACATGCAAGCCATAGAAATCTTTAAACCCATTTTGCTGCTTTCACAAGAAGCATGATAACACATTTTAAAAAATTAAGATTGTGGGATGATAACAGAAGGTTTTGGAGCAGCAGTGATTTCGGAGAAGTTGTGTTTATGGAGGTAGCTAAGCAGGCTGCTGTTTCTTGAGTGGAGAGGTGCAGTGTTGCAGAAGTAATGCTCGCGCTTCCAGTGGGAGGAACTAATGAGTCGTTATGGAGACCCTCATTATCGGCGGTTTCAGTAACGGCTCCATGAAAAGATGTATCAAGGGCAACAGACTTTATGACCAATAAGAGAGTGGGGAAATAATGAGGTAAACTTGCCCAATCTTTAGGCAGATAAAATCCCAATAAACCACAGTAGGGGGTGAGTATTTGGGGTTGAATGTTCCTTGATTCAGGTGCTAAAGATTTTCTAAAGCTTGATGGAAGCCAGAAAATGGCAGAGAGGGAGAGAGAGAGAGAGAGAGAGAGAGAGAGAGAGAGAGAGAGAGAGAGAGAGAGAGAGAGAGAGAGAGAGAGCCGACCAGTAAAGCAATTTTATTTTTCATAAAAGCATGTTTCACTGTTCTTGTCACACTCTTGTTTAGACATTGTTGAGTGTTATGTTTCTGTAAAACATTTCAAAGGTTGATGGAAGTTGTACATTCCAGGAATTATGAAATAGTACACTGTGCACTCTCTAATAACAGATGTAATTAATAAACATAGGTTGACTCTCATTTAAGAATAGTGTTTCTTCTCTTATAAAGATGCAGAGTGGGGAAAGCTGAGACACATATCTGTTCTCATCCACATAGAGCCCAAAATCTACTGTGTGAGTGGAGAAAGAGTAAGTGACACACCAAGCTGTGTATATCAGGGAGGAACTGGTTTTAAAATTCCAACCCATCCCAACTGACCACACCGTCATGTCACTTCCACCTCGGCTCCCTCTGAGGACAAGCGGCCTCTCTACACAAGCCCTCCCTTGTCTCCTCCAACTTCCGGTGGCCTTAAAACTCACCCTGATGTTTCACCTGCCCTGCCCTGCTGCCCTGTGACAAGCCTATTACTTCTTGTTTGTCCCCATTGGCTAATGAGAATAATTAATCCGGTCCTCTTTATAATGCCCCTTTATTGTCGTGGACGAGGTGGCCGAGTGGTTAAGGCGATGGACTGCTATAATGCCCCTTTATGTGGGAGTGAAATAGGGATTATGACTCCCTCAGGTCTTCTTTCCTACAGATACAATGTGTCCAGTTCTCTTATCTTTTCTCAGGGGGTGCATTTTTTAAACCTTTTACCATGCTCGCTGGCCCCCTCAGACACCCTCCATCCTTCTGTCTGAGAGAAGCAGGATGCCCTAACCAAGGTTCCCAATGGAGCCTCTCCAGCTCCAGTCAGCGGAATCACTGCCCAGCCTGCTTCCAACACCAACTCCTCTTACCAGGCGCTGCCAAAGGGCATTCTTGGCAGGCAGTCCTGTGTGCTGGCACCTTATTATGTCCTCCACTCAAACCTCCCTCTCAGAGAGGGAACTGAGAGCATTTCTCTGGTGAATCTTCAGACTCCTCTAAACAGGGAACTATTTGCTGATGTCTCTTCATTAGCTGGACCCATATTTTGATAGCATGTTTCCTCAAACAAAGCTCTTGTGTTGAGTTTTAAACTTTTCTTTTCCAAATTACATATTAAATCAAACTTAGCTGAGGAGACTTTAAAAAAAAATAAACATTTTAGAGTAGTTTTAGGTTGCCAGTAAAGTTGCACAGAGAGCCCCCTCTTTCCTCATTTCTGCACACACAGCCTCCCCGACTAGGCACACCCACCAGGTGCATCGTTACAACCATAGCCCTACATGGCACATCATTATCACCCAAGTCTCTAGTGCACAGTAGGGTTCACCCTCGGTGCTGTGCTTTCTATGGTGTTGGACAAAATGTGTGATGAGATAAGTCATCACCTGGAATGAAGATTCACTGTTCTAATGTCTGAGCTCCGCCTCCTCGCCCTCGCTCCCCTCTGACTCCTGGCAGCCACAGATTTACAATGAGTTCTGCCTTTTACGGAATGTGGTAGAGTTGGAGTCACACAGCATGTAGTCTTCTCAGGCTGAGGAGTGCCCTCAGAGGCGGTGTCCATTGCCAGAGAGCGGGCAGAGGCCCCCACGCAGAGACCTGAGGTTCTTCCAAGCCCCCCCGCCCCAGCTCTCCCCCCTCCCATCCCCCGGGAGGAAAAACTGCTGTTCTCTCCAGTGTATGTCCCAGTGAGATGCCCGTAGATTTTAATTCTAAAGTCTCAGAAATCAATGGCAACTCTTCCTTCATCAACCTTAACGTTTTACAATCTTTCACTGGACCTACTGAAACATCAAGACAAAAAGAACAACATATATTTTATCTTCCTTTTACAGAAAATGGAATGTGTAATGTGCTTTAAAAGTCCAGGTACTTATAACTTCTAAAGGTGCCTCATCCTTTCAGTGGAGACTCTGACGACATGGACAGGGGCCAGCACCCCTGGCAGTGTCCATTCGGAATTCTGACCCACCAAACCTGGGACCATATGACATAGCTATTTTCAAGGGCTCGGCTTTGTGAGAGTTTGCTGTGCAGCCAGAGGTAACAAAAATGTTCCTGCCCATTTAAAGGGTGGCAGTCTGGGCAAGGTGAAAAGAAGCTGAAAATTAGTTCTTGGCAGTGTAGCTGGTAGAACTTTCTCCAACTGTCATAGATCCAGCCAGCGGGGAAGATCACACCTCGATAAGTATGTGGCCGTGTGACTGCTCTGAATACCTGCAAAATTACTCCTAAGACCTGAAATCAGACAAAAACCCCAAGCAAATTGCAGCAGCCCAAAATATATTTCCTTTATAAAAATATAAAGGAAACACTCCTTTCAACAATTGACTCTTGAAGATAATTTAAATACTCATCTCATTTCCTAAATGCTTTCTTCCAGGAGTTTGAATGTTAGCGTTCCGTGGCAGCATTCCTCACTCCTGAGAGATGCGTGGATTCGACCCTCCCTCCATTCATCATCCCGTGTTTCGTAGCGGAGTGGCTGCCGCTGACACAATGTAATTAGCGCGCAAACCAAGAACAAGGCACACACCTAAGTGACAACAAGCTGACGCTGCGCTGCCAAGTTCTGCTCGGAAAGCTCCCTGCGTGATTTCTTCATACCTCACAGACAGGACAGGAAGTCATCAACTAAGATGTCACTCACCAGAGACTTTCTGCCCCTAATCTCTGCCCCGAGAGGCCCCAGCACAGGAGCCACTGTTCTTGGCAGGCCGATTGACCACTTCTTTGTCACATCAGATGACTCATCAGAAAAATCTCTTTTCTTTAGGAATGAAAGTGTGACACAAAGAGAGGCGATGTGTAGAAAGGCTTGGTCCTCCCTGTTGGGTCTGTGTGTAGTGAGGTTTTGGTTTTCTAAGTGACAGCATCTCTTTCCCTTCCTTTCTCTTTCCTTTTTCAGATGTTTATGTTCAGTGCATCCACATAACTGAGCTAAATGCCAGCAGAGCTCCCAGCCGCGGGGCAGAGGGCCTGGCCACCCACCTCCTAGTCGCCAAGACTGCAGCCATTTCATTTTGGAAATGACATTTCTTCACAGTCTCCCTAGACAGCAATTCATGCCAATCACCAGGAGCTCCCTCTGCCCGTAGCAATGTCAGTGAGCTTGAACTCTCTACTAGCATTGGGATGAGAGGTCTATCTCTCTGAGTCTTGTATCAGAGAGTTTACTTCCCAAGGAATCTTCCTTGTGATCCAGATCTAATCTGACCTGCCTTTTATAATGCCAAAGCAACAGGGAAATGCTGCCCAGTGTTTTATCACTGAAAGCTCGGGTCTGGCAGACTTACACCATTTTGGACTCCTATGATCCTATTGCAGAAAAGCTCAGTGAAACTGGGGGATAAACACAACTGGGGCCCCAATGAAGTGACCTTGCATTGCAGACGTGGAGATGCACCTGTAAAATAATCCTAACTCTACGAGTTCCAAAAACACCATGTGCATATAAATAAAATATATCTTTATTAATGTTACTCTTAAATCTACACCAATAAAAGAGAAAGATGCAAATTGACCATACCTCCATGACACACACCAGCCAATCAGGAGTGGATATGCAAATTAACCTGACAAAGCTGGCAGGTTAATTTGCATACAAAGGTGCTGAGTGGCCACTCCAGACCTATGGGCATAGACACCAAACAGCTGGGGACAAAGCAGGAACATCTGCTATGTCCACACTCTCCTAAACCCAGCACCCACAATTTGGGGCTGCTGGGCTTAGGGGTGTGCCCCCCCTCAGGCTGTGGGGACATGCCCCTAGCCCAGTGGGCACAACACAGGAGAACCTCTATGCATGGGTTGCAGAGGAAACACTTTTTCTTTTCTTTTTCTTTTTTAAATATATTGTTTTTTTATGGAGAAGAGGGGAGAGGGATAGACAGTTGGAAACATCAATGAGAGAGAAACATCTATCAGTTGCCTCCTGCAACACTCCCCACTGGGGATGTGCCCCAAACCAAGGTACATGTCCTTAACAGGAATCAAATCTGGGACCCTTCAATCTGTAGGCCAATGCTCTACCCCCTGAGCCAAACCAGTTCAAGCATAAACACCTTTCCTGACCACTCATTGGCTAAGCTCCCTGTATGCTGCCACTTGCACTTGTTCTTGGTAACTTGGGTAATAAGAATCCAAGAAGGTAATCTAGGGTTTTCCCACCTCACTCCTGAAGAAAACAATGAATGTCCGCTACATGGGGCTACAAAATGTCGTATCTTGCCCTAGCCGGTTTGGCTCAGTGGATAGAGTCTCAACCTGCTTACTGCAGAGTCTGAGTTCGATTTCCATCAAGACAATGTACCTAGATTGCAGGCTCCTCCATGGCCAGGGCCTAGGTCAGGTCTCATGCAGGAGGAAACCAATCAAAATGTCCCTCTCACATTGATGTTTCTCTGTCTCTCCCTCTCTCTTCCATACTCTTTAAAAATCAATGGAAACATATCCTCAGGTTAGGATATGTTTTTCACATGGATGTTAAATAACCCTCTCAGTCCTAACATGCCTCACCCTAAATTTGCTGTTTTCTCTAAATGTATCATGTCATCTACCCATCTTGGTTAATGGCAATTCATGCTTAAATTTCCCAGGCCAGAAGTCCATGAATAATCCTTAACTTTTCTCTTTTTTTACATCTCTTGTCTATTGGTGTGATCTTTCAGATATGACTAGCCTCTGACCATCTCCAGCACTACCACCTTGAACCAAGCTGCATTCTCTGCAGCCTGAACTATTGCTTTGTAGTTAGTTTCTGGTTGTTCTCCAACCTGCACCAGGTGACCTTTCTAAAACATAAATCAGATCACCTAATCCCTCTGCTCAAAACCCTCCTGCAGCTTCCGTCTCCATCAGTGTTACGTTCAAAGCCTCTCCTGTGACCCAGAAAGCCCCAAGAGTTCCAGCTCCCACACTGCTCTGTTCTCCAAACCTGCCACTTTGCTCTCGTTTCTAATTTCACTGTCCTCCTTCCTATTCCTCAGACACACCGGGTACACTCCCACCTCCGCACCTCTGAAGTGCCTTTCCTCTTCCTGGCATGCCTTTCTGCCAGATACATCCAGCACTTACTCCTCCCCCCCTTTTTTTTTTCAAGTCTCTGCTCAAATACCACCTTCACGGAGCAGATCTCTATGATAATCCAATATAAAATAGCACCCTCAGCAATCTATATTCCCATTGATCATTTTATAGGTTTTATAGTTCTAAGACAATTTCACTTTGCTATGTTTATTTCTTTACATCTGTTAGAATTGGGAAGTTTTCCAAATTGTTCATAAAAAGTGCCTGGAATATACATAAATAGTTTTTAATAGATTAATACTATATTTCTGAAACTCTTTTTATTAAAAGAATGTTTAATCCTTCCTGGTTATTAATAGCCTATCAAAAGTAGCCCAATATCACATCTCACAGTTTATATGTAAATTTACTCAAAATGGATCAAAGACCTACATGGAAAAGTTAAAACTATAAAATTCTCAAAAAACAAAAACAAAAAAAACCATAAGGGTAAATCTCTGATTTGGCAGTGGTTTCTATACATGAACCCAAAACACAAGCAACCAAAGGAAAAATTGGTAAATTGGAATTCACAAAATTAAAAACTTTTGTGTTTCAAAGGATACCATCAAGATAGTAAAAACTTAGCATACTTAATGGAAGAAAATATTTTTAAATTATATATCTAATAGAGTCATATCTAGAATACATATAAAATAAAGAATTCTTTCAACTAGATAACAAAAAGACAAATAACTCAATTTAAAAATAGGAAAATGATCTGAGTAGATGTTTCTTCAAAGAAGATATATAATTGGCCAATAAGCACATGACAATGTTCAGTATCAGTAGTCATCAGGGAAATGCAAAGCAAAACCACAAGGAGATACAATTTCACACCCACTAATATTGCTATAATGAAAAAGACAGATAATATGTATTGGGAGGATGTGGAGAAATTGAAAACTTCATACACTGCAAGTGATAATGTAAAATGAGTCACCAATTTTGGAAAACAGTCTGTCAGTTCCTCAAAAGATTAATCTAAGAGTTGCCAGATAATGTAGCAACTCCACTCTAAGGTACAGACACAAAAGACACGGAACACCTATGTCCCCTCAGACTGTGAGTCAATGTTCACATGTAGCAGCAGTGTTCATGAGAACAAAACAGGGGACAGCACAGAGGCCCACCAAATGATAAACAAACAGATAAATAAAAATCCATTTAACAGAACATTTTTCAGCAAGTATCAGAGCATACTGCAACATGAATAAAGACATTATCCTAAGTGGAAGAGGCTAGTCACAAAGGACCACATACGGTACCATTTTGTTGTTATGAAATGTCCAGATAGTAAACCTACAGGGACAGAACCTGGAGTGCTGGTTGTGTAGTGCTAGATGGATAGGAGGATGGAGGATGAGGGTGACAGCCAAAGATATGGATCTTTTTGGTGTGATGAAAATGTTCTAAAGTGGATTGTAATGATGGTTGCACAGCTCTGTGAATACCTAAATATCTATGTTATTTATTAGTCTCCTTGTTTATTGCCCGTCTTTCTCTGAAGGTAAGTTTCAGGGGCTTAAGCACTTTGTCCTATTCACTCCTAGAATAGTGCTAGACATATATGAACCACTCAATAAACATGCTGAATGCATACTAGTTACAATGTTGTTAGAAAGACTATACAGCAGGCCCTGGGATATGTACACATTTTAGGAGCAGTATTTGACATTTTCTTGAACAGCACAAATATTTTAGTTGGTATAATTGTATTCATTGGAGAAGATCATTTTAGAGATTTCTTTGATAACCAAGAGTTTATTGCATTATTAAATGTTTTAATGAAGTGTCCTCTCATATAAATTGTTTCTTCCAAACACACTGGAGTCTAATCTTAATTTTAACTTTGCTAATTAAGTTACACCAAAAGATATGAGCAGGGATTTCAAGGAAGACCAGCAGCAGCCCCTGCTTGGTATACAATACACACTTGAATCTTCTGACCCTCTTAATGACTTCGTAGATAACAGGCCAAATCATACTGATTATGTAATCTGGTGTTAATAATTATCTTTCTGAATTTATAGCCAAATTTCTTAGGAATCCAACTATCAGAGAAGCATCTGTTTGTCCCTCTTCTGTGATGTGTGTCTTGCTTTTAATTTCACTACTGAAACCAAATGACATTAAAGCTACCCTTTCATTTAAAATTCAAAATTCCACATTGTTCAAGCAATGGAGT